AACCACGCACGCGGAGCTTGCTTGAGGCCGTAGATGGCCTTGTTGAGCTTGCAAACATAAGATGGTCGTGACAAGTCAATGAATCCCGGTGGTTGAGTCATATACACATCTTCTTTAAGAAAGCCATGGAGGAATGCGTTTTTGACGTCCAATTGACGAAGTGACCAACCTCGAGATACAGCAAGAGACAACACAACACGAATAGTTGCAGGTTTAATCACAGGGCTAAAGGTATCGGTGTAGTCTATACCTGGTTGTTGATGAAACCCTTTAGCCACAAGTCGCGCTTTGTGACGTTCAATAGTGCCATCTGAATTGTGCTTTACTCGAAATACCCATTTGCAGCCAACAAGATTTTGAGATGAAGATGGGGGAACTAATGTCCAAGTGTTGTTTTTCAGCAAAGCATTGATTTCATCAACCATTGCTTCACGCCATATCGCATGTTTAGAGGCTTGAGTGTAGCATGTAGGCTCTGCAGTTTCAATGACAGTGAGGAGAGCACGAGCAATGGGATATTTGACAGTGCCATCTGTGCGAATTTTGGGTTGCACAATACCATGCTGTAGCCGTGTCCTCATGGGTAGAGAGGGTGGTGGTGCAGGAAGGGGTTGAGGATCAGCTGGTGAAGTTGGGGATGACAACGGAGGATCAGTGACAGGCAGAGACCCACCAGAGACCGGTTGTGGAACAGTTGCAGCAGGGGCAGATGGCTGGAGAGAGGTGGATGCAAGCTGTGAAGAATCTGGGTGTAATGAACGACGGCGCTGATAGGTGAGAATGGGGGTGGCGGTGGAAGCTTGAGACTGAGACGGAGCCGACGGCGCTGGAATTGGGAGTTCAATACCTACTTCACGTGGCTCTAGTTGAGATACATGAGGAGATTGGACGGTAGTACAAGTAGAGGTGCCATTCTCAGCAGGCGGATTTGGGCCAAAAAGAGTGGGCTGTGGAAGATTGAGTCCTGGGCTGGACAAAAGTGTGAACTCCAATGAGCCAGCGTCTGGAACTAAATGTGCCTGCAACTGTTTGTAAGGAAAAATTGTTTCGTTAAAGACAACATGCCTAGAGATATAAACACGACCAGTGGTAGGATCTAGACAACGATAACCTTTGTGTTGAGAACTGTAACCGAGAAAGACACACTCAATGCTGCGACTCGAAAGTTTATCAGAGACAAAAGACCCAAGATGAGGAAAACAAGAACAACCAAAAAACGCGAAGAGAGGAATAGGAAGGCGGACTACCATAAAGACGAGTATGTGGATTGTCCCAATTAAGAATGGGTGTGGGAAGAAGATTAATAAGATGAACAGAGGTTAAAACAGCTTCGACCCAAAGATTATGTGGAGCACCAGAAGTGAGAAGGAGACTCCGAGTCATTGTGGAAATATGGCGATGCTTGCGTTCCGCAAGGCCATTTTGTTGTGGTGTATAGGGGCAAGAAAATCGCTGTTGAATTCCCAAGGATTTACAATAATGAGAAAAGGCATTATTGACATATTCAGTCCCATTGTCACTTTGAAGAAATTTAATGGTTTGGTGAAAGATATTTTGAATCATGGCAACTAAAGTTTGAAAATGAGTTAGGACTTCATTTTTGCGACGCATGGGGTAAATCCAAGTGTAGCGTGAGAATTCATCAGTGAATAGAACATAATATTTAAAACCACTAACAGAAATAGTAGATGAGGACCAAACATCACTATGAATAATGTGAAAAGGAGTACTAGCAGTCTCTTTATTGGAATTAAAAGGTAATTGGTGAGATTTGCTGAGTGCACAGTCTCGACAAAAAGAACGGAAAGACAATTTGGAATTGATTGTAGGACCTAGACGTGCTAGGACATTTGACGACGGATGACCCAAACGATTGTGCCAGATGGAGGAGTGAACAGAAGCAAGGGCTTGTGGAGGAGTGGAGACGCTGGACAGAGTGAGCGGATATAGACCATCTTTACAAGGGCCCTGAAACAATAGACTACCAGTACGTAAGCAATAGATTTGATAGAAGTCAGGTGCAAAAACAAAGAAAACAAGGTTTTCTTTAGTGAAACGAGCAACAGATAGGAGATTTTTACGAATGGATGGAATACGAAAGACATTTTGTAAAGTGAAGTTGGAAGAGCCTAATGAAAGGGGAAGATTACCAGTATGGGAAACGGGCATTGAGTCCCCATTACCCATATATACATTATGCGGTCCACCATAAGGTTGAGGATTATTGACAGGCATGGATGTCATGTGATGGGTTGCACCTGTGTCCGGGTACCAATTTGGATCAGCAGCATAATGTACTCCAGCAAACGGAGTAGCAGTATTGGGGCCGGAAAATCTGTGTGGACATTGAGAAAGACCATGTTGACCTGAGTGACAATTGGGACACCATTGGGGTGCGGGGCCAAGAAGACCATTGGGTGGGGGACGAGCAGCCCAAGCAGGTGAAGTAAACGGCCCAAATGGAGGCATATGTTGCTGTTGCATAGGAAAAGAAGACGCAACCTGTGACTGTGGAGTGGCTTGCTGCTGGGAGTGACGACCACGTCTGAAGCGACCATTGTTGGGACGACCACCGGTGGGAAATGAGCGGTGGTCACGACGGGTAGAGGAGGCTTGACTGTGATTGAAGAGAGCAGTAGCCGTAGGGGAAGCAGCAGGACGAGATTGTTGGGCATCAAAGGAGAGAATTCGAGCCCGTAGTTCGGTGAAATCAGGGAGTGGAGGATTTTGAGTGAGGGCAGTGCGAAGCATGATGTAATCGGGGCCAAGACCATGAAGAGTGGCGATGACCAAGTCCTCGTCAGGAACAGGCTTGTTAATGGAGACCAAAGCATCAGCAATTGATTTGGCATGACGGAGGTATTCATCAACAGATTGAGTGCCTTTGGTGAGATCTAGAAGTTGCATTTTGAGATTGGTTGCACTAGCTATAGACTTCTGGGAAAAATGGCGTTCAAGGCAGTCCCAAATTGCCTTTGATGTGTTGAAACCAACGGTAAGCTGTGCAATGTTTTCTGTTAGAGTGGTGGTGAGGATGCTAACGATTTGTTGGTCGACGGTGAACCACGTTTCATGTGCAGGATTAGGAATGGATTGTGCTGGTTCAGTGTCGGTGGCAGTAGTCATGGTGGTGAGAGATGGTTCAGGAATGGTGCCATCAACATATCCCCAAAGTTTGGCACCGTGAAGGTATGGTTTGATTTGCCGAAGCCATGTGAGGTAATTGGTTTCAGTAAGTTTGGTGAATTGAGCAGTATTTTGGGAGGGAGTAGTTGAGAAAGAGGAGGTAGCCATGGGCAAGAAGAGGGAAGAAAGAAAAGAGGGGATGACGGAGACAAGTAAGGATCCTAGACTTAGGCTGATACCATGTAGAAAATGATTTCCCTTGATTTAAATCTGTTTACAATGTACAGCTATATAGGAGATTTGTTTGACTGTTACAAGAAATAATAAACAGCAATAATTACAAAGAATCAAAACTGATCTTCCGTTACACAATCAGTTTTGATTCTCAATCAAACTGATCTTCAGTTACTCAATCAGTTTTGATTGAGAAGAGGAAATCTCTCTAACAACATTCCTGGATTGCCACCTGGCGCCTTCGGATTCAGGAAGGGTGATGAGCTCGCCATCAAAGGAGAGGGCAAGGCGGTCAGCGGAGTCGTCCCACGTGGCGGTCTTTTGGGCACCGATGAAGAGCTGGTGTTTGCCAAAGAGGATGACAATGGACTGGACCCAAGTGAAGTCCCTCTTCATGTTGTGGTTGCGCCTGCCAATGAAGTGAGCGTTGATGTGGAGGTTGGGGTCGGATAAGAGGCAGAAATCGCGGTCTTTCTTGCCGTGGAAGTAAAAGGTGATGCCATCGCCGCCTATGAAACGGGGGTCTTGGCACACTGCTCCTGGCTGATCACACTCTGCGCCATTTACCAAAAGAGAAAGAAAAGTATTTTCAGAACTAATATATGAAAATTTATCCTAGTTACTTTCTCATTAGCTTATTTGAAAGTTTTGAGACCACATTAGCTTATCATAATATGTGATCATGACTAATCATAAAGATAAATGTGAGAGGAGACTTACTGGAGACTGGCTTGCAAGTGACACAGTCAACCTCACATCCACCAGGGCAAGAATTGGGGCATACATGTTCTATGTTGTAACATTGGGGGTAGTACTTGTTCTTGCACTTGGCCTTCTTTGGTGAGGTTGAAGGAGTTGGAGGAGGAGAAGAGGAAGTAGGTGGAGATGGTGTAGGAGTTGATGGAGGAGGAGAAGAAGTAGGTGGAGACGGCGTAGGAGGTGAAGGAGTAGGAGGAGGTGATTGGTAATGTGGTGCCGGCAGTGGTGGGGAAGGTGAAGGCGAGGGAGTAGGAAGTGTTGGAGTTGTAGTTGGTGGTGTTGGAGATGGAGTTGGGGGTGTGGGGGTTGGCGGAGATGGTGGTGGAGTTGGTTTAGCTTGAGGAGGAGGAGGAGAATAATATGTTGGTGGTGTAAGTGAAGGGGTGGGAGAAACAGGTGGAGGAGGGCTTGATCCCCCAGAACAGATGGGTACAAGAGACACACTCCACTGTGCATTTATCAGGGCAAAACTTCGGGCACACATGCACAAGATTGTAACAATGCTTGTATTTTTTTATCGAACACCTTGCATTGCTTGGAGCATCAGCAGGAGAATTGGAACAACAACTTGCATTTTGAAATGAGCCATTTGGAGCAAAACCCTTGAATTAGTTCCCAGTATATTCAAGGGAATTCAATTTGGTGTGTTTGAGTGAGAAACCCACTGTTTAAATGCCCCTATTCTGAGAAGATGGTCCATATTTAGGTAGTAATTAAAACACAGAATTGGTTTTATTTCCAATTATACTTCCATCTATGTAGCTAGTAAAGTTATTTCTTGCTAGTCGGATAAATATATAGTCTCATCTTGTGGGTAGTTAGGGAAGTGGCTGGCTTCCATGATATCTCCATATAATCAATTATTATGCCATCTTTTCTGCTTTTTTCTTTTAATCTAAGTTGAAAAAGAAGTTTTGTTGGACTCTGAATCATGAGCAGTACAATAAGGTCTAGCTAGATGCCATATACAAGGGGCACCTCTACATACCAACCACAAGATTAGGAGCAATATCCCTAACTTTTGTACTGCTTCTTTATTCCTTTCAACACCTCTGGAGACTCTCTCTCTGCTCCTGCAAGTAAGTTTAAACTAGTTTCTATGAGCAAATATTTATACAAACAGTATTTAAATTGATTCAAAGGAAAAATGTACCCATAATGATGTGTTTGACCCAAATTAAGTTATGGCTTTGTACTTACAAGGATCATCTCATTTGATGAGGATGCATCTTGTTGGTGCTCCTTCAGCACCAAGCAACCTTAGAGGCAAGCAATGCACAGAATAGTTTCCGGGTTGGATGTCGTCAAGCTTTAGGCCTTCCACAGGAATGATTTCCTGAGCCATATATTACCAGCATTTTGATTTAAAAAGAGCTTAATCAAATTCCAATCACATTGTAAAGAAAGTCAGGAAATCATAGACAAACTTGATTTGAAAAACAAAATATATATCTTGCCTCTGATTTTTTTTTATAAACACAAATAGAAGAAGCTTTATTCTACCAAATAGAGAATCTTACCCTGCCTCTGAGAAAGGCAACATGAGCTGGAATTGCTTCATCATAAGTGGCAATGGAAAAGTAATCAGTTCCTACATTCATAGTAAAGAAAATCAGTGCAAGCACAACCATTTGCTTTCAAAATGGTCAGAAACTTGATTATTTTATACCTCAACCGAATTACCCCAAAAAAAATACAACAAATTGGTGTGTTACCAACAAGTTTGATGTCTGTGTTGTCTACTACCCATTTTGCTCCATCCTCCGTGAATCCCACAAAGCTCGAGTCGAATTCCTTTCGATGCATAAGCCGCCTATACAACGGAGTAACGATTATCAGTTTTATGATATGTCTTGTTTGCAGTGTTGATTTTGTTAATCAGATTCAGCATACTGATATAAAATCTTAATTGCTTAATCTGAAATCCAAAACGCTTAATCCTTAAATCCAAACCGACGTCATTTTGGACATAAGCACAATTCAGCACAAAAGCAACTATCAAAGAATCATATATATTTCAAGAAAATTACAAAGAAAATATAAGTAGACAATCTTTTTTTAATTTTGCGTTACCTGTCAGTATTCAATGTCTTGAAAAGGACCCGGCGTGTACCCTTGGGAATATTTAGGGACTTCATAACTTCAGCTGTAAAAGGTAGACATTACGCTTTTGAAAAACATTTTAAAAAAAAGTACTTGAAAATTCAGATTAGAATTTGAACATCACCAAGTCAGACATGCATACCAGTTATGTTGCTATCTCTGGGAACATCAACAACAAGAGCAGGACCTGTTGAAAAACAATTATACTGAGCATAAATCATCAACACATAGAACAAATTACTTTGTTGTTCTAAGTATCATGCATAATTACCATTGAGGACATCCAGGTCAAGCTGATCCACATCAAACCCTGCATCAAAGTAGTCATCAAAAACATGGCCAGGCGCATCAACATGGGTTCCAGTGTGGACAGGCAAGTCGAACTCAGAGTTGTTGGTGAGAGAAGCATTCTTCATGCTGAGCTGGAGCCACAGGAAGTGGCCGATCCCATTCTTGGAACCATAGAAAGGAAGGTCCGGTGTGTACCTGTGGGTGATGTCAAAGATTCTCCCATTGCCGTACACTTCTCTCCGTACGGGTTTCGGGGTGTTGCCGCCGCCCCCAGAACTGTAGACGGAGGAGGAAGCGAGGAAGAAGCAAGAGAGTGTGAGCAGAAGGGGTTGGTGGTTCATGGTTTTGGGTACGGTAGAATGAGAGCGGAGAGGGTGTGTTAAAATGTTTAAGTAAGAAAGAGGTGGTGGTTTTTTATGAGTAATAAATCAATAAAGTTAATGGTAATTAGTGATTCAAAATTGCAGTCACATTAAAGTTAATGGGTGCCAGATTTTGTTTTGTTTTTTTTTGGGTAAAATATTGTTTTTATCTTTATGAGTGCATTAACGCGTTTTTCTAGACTTGGGCAGCCTTTAGTTCAATTATTTAATCTTCTGTAATCAATTTCTAGAAGTATCCATGACCAATCATGAATTAGATAGCACATGAGATGTATATAGCAATTCTGCATTTGGTCCAACAATAGTCCCAGAGACACAGTGTGCTACACCAAATTTTTCAGTTACAAACTTCTGTGCCAATTTTCTTGTTCGTTGTGAATGAATAAGGTTCGCAGTCTCAGTGTGAGTTCATAACTATTTGTTGTGAACGATAGTACTAATAGTCAATTGATATCTAAACATTTGTATAATAAGTTGGCGTCTGAAGTATTCATATAGTGGATGTTAGCATTTTGCTATTTAATACTTGTTAGCGAGATCCTAGTTTAATTAGGATATTTATTTTCTAGTTTATTAGGATTATATTTTTTTTTCTAGTTTAGTAGGATTATATTTCTCTCTTTTTTGTACAGATATTGTGTAATTAGGTTTTTATCTTGTTTCCTAGTTTAACCCTACTAAGATTACATCCTTGTACTATAAATACCTTCTTTTGGATAATGAAATACAACCTTAAAAATATTCTACCCATATTGTTTGACTATACTTGTATTATACACGTACGTACATATTTTTTAATAATACTTTTGTTTTTCGTACACATCTTAAAAACTCAGTAAAATATACTTTTTTTAAAAGCAAATGTACAATACATGTATTATACATGTAATATACACAAAAAATTTCACATTTAATACACATTTTTTACAAAAAATTTAATAATGTAGACAAAATTCAAGTATTATACCAATATTTTTAACATATTATTGAATATAAATAATATATATTCAAATATTATATAGTAGTCGAATTTTTCAGTTGTACCTTGCCAAAATTTTACCGAATAAAACACGAACGTATTTTGTTCATACTTCTGTATTTTACTGACTAGGAGTGAATGAATGTGTTCATAATCTTTTGACTGATATATTAATGACCCTCTTTATTATATATAGAGTGGTATATTTCTCTTCGTTTTGTTAAAAGAGATTTCAATTTTTTTTAATTAAAAACAGAAAAAAAAAATAACGATAAACAAAGAAACACACAGTTAGTTGCTGCTGTAGTCAAATGAAAGTAAATAGTCATGGTCAGGGGTTCGATCCTTGCTCTCGTATGGAGTCACCACTTTGGCCAGCACTTTACCCCTTACGGGCCGACCCGGTGTGAGCGGGGATTAGTCTGGGTTGTGGTTAAGGCTTAAAGGTGCCACCCATAGTTGGGGCCCATCCAGGACCACCTCGTGGTTCAAACCAAAAAAAAAAAAGTAAATAGTCATGTTTAAGGCCCATCGCTTATCAAAATCTGTTTCATAAGAATGTTTAAGCTTAGCTTAGCCCACTGACCATAGGAAATCTCATCTCCATCCTTGGTTGAGTGTCAGTCTTGCAAACTTTTTTCTAACGGCTTACGACACGCCTCCCATCAATCCATGTCTCCTTTTAAATTTGTTTGGTAAGTTCTTTTAGGGTTAATGGTTCTATTGGTTCTCCAACTTTGATTGAATTTTCATTTGAGTACCTTAATTTCCAAAATGGTACCCATGGTCCCGCAACTTAAGTTTCGTTTGAATTACTAGTCTCACCGTTACTTCTGTTAGTTTTTTCGTTATATTTAGGGGTATATGGGTCTTTTCAGGTTGGTTTTGAGGGACAAAAAAGATTTTTACCCTTTTAGGATCTCTGATACGAGTATAATGGAACTCTTGTACTTCAGACCAAAAAAAAAGAAAAGAACTCTTGTACGAACGAAAAAGCTGAAGAAGAAAAAGATGAAGCTTTCAGACGAATCTTTTCTACTGAAGCTTTCATACAAAAGCAAAAAAGCTGAAGAGTTTGAGTTGATTTTGTCTGGGTCATTGTGTATTAAGGTCGTCTGGTGTCGATACGTCTTGGTTATCTCATTGTGGGGTCAATAGGTGTTGTCGACAACTTTGATGGAGTTTGCATTCAAGACTTCTGGAGACCCCCCCATATACGGTATGCGATGCTAATAGAAGTACTAGGAATGCTTTTTGATATGTTAATTGCTTTTTGTTGTTTTGGAATTCTGTCTGTGTCTGCTCGAACTGTGCATCAATTGAGGGTTTTCTTATTGTCTCTCCTGTTTTCTTTTGTCTTTATGTCAACATTGAACGCATACCTTGTGTTTTGGTCAAACATTGAGTGCATACTTGGTCCTACTATCCTTGTTAAATTTAAGGGTTTGTGGTCCTACTGGTTTGATATATGTGAATTGATTGCACAGTTGCACACACTAGCACATTTGGTGGTCCTACTGGTAGATTTGTGGTCTACTGGTAGGGTTTAGTGTGATTTGTCTTTATTTAGGTGAGCAGAGATTTTAAAAATTGGTGTTCAACTTAGACTACTGCTTCATTTGCAGATAAGGGTGAGTTCTGCACTTTGGAAATTCACCATGGGGATGTTGTACAAGATGGGGTTTATAAGGGGGGACATTGTGCTATTTGGACAACTGTGTGGATGATTATCTATCACTCTTGGATTTAAGAAAAATAGGTATAGAGTTAGGATATGAAGTGGACCTAACTAAGAAGGAGATAGGTTTGCAAATATATTGTAAGATGTATGACAGTAATGGTGAAACTATTGTAAAGCTCATTAACAATGACAGTGTTATATGTGAGATGGTTGGCTGCATAACAAGTAACAGAGTGTTAGTGTTATACTATACTGACAACAAAACAAGTGAAAAGACATGGACTCAAACATCTGTGGAATGGCCTAGTTTACAGAGTGAAGAATACAACTATGGGAGATTTAATGAAGACCACATGAAGGAGAATAATGAGTCTTTAGATACTAATGCGCATGTTGTTTCGCTTGGAGATTGTGAAGCTGTAGTTGATGAAGAAGAAGAAGAGTCAGAGTATGTGGATAGTGATTATGAGTTTAGTGAAGATAAGGAGGCAAACAAAGGTTGTAATGTAGACATCAATATGCCTTGTGATGAAGAAGTGAATGTTGAGACTGAAACACAAACACAAGGGCTAGGAGAGATTTTTGATAATGGGGCATATTCTGATACCTTATATTCTGATGGGAACACCTCAGATGAAGAGAATACCAGTCGACATTGCACAAAAAAGCAGAGGATTCGCCTACCAAAGTTCAAGCAATATAGGAGAGCTATTGTCCTTAAAAATCCAGAGTTTCATTGGGGGATGCAATTTGCAAATCGGGAGCACTTGAAAGAAGCAATAAAGGAGTATGCCATTGTAAACGGCAAGCTGCTAAAATTTCAAAAAAATGACAAGAGGAGGGTGAAGGTCGTGTGTAGTGGATCTGGAAACTGTGCATTTGTTCTTTATGCATCTATGATTGATAAAGAGGAATCCACTTTTGTAGTAAAGGCTATACATGCTGATCATACATGTAGCAGAGTAGACATGTTGAGATATGCTAATTCAACATGGATTTCAGAAAGATTTTGTGATAAGATGAGAAGAAATCCTAATTGGACTGTGGGGCAACTTCAAGATGAGGTGAGGGAACACTATGCAATGAATGTTACACAGAACCAAGTGTATAGGGCAAAAAAATTGGCTAAGAAGGTCATTAAAGATTCGTACAAGGAACAATTCGAGAGATTAAGGGATTATGCAGAGCAAATTAAGAAGACCAACCCTGGAAGTACTGTGGTAATTAAAAATGAACTAGCAGGTGATGATGCATTGTTTGAATGGATTTATATTTGTTTAGCTAGTTTTAAAAAGAGTTTCTTAAAAGGGTGTAGGCCTGTCGTAGGTGTTGATGGGTGCCACTTAAAAAGACCCTGCTCAGGGCAGATCTTAACTGCAGTTGGTGTTGATGGGAACAATAGTATGTTCCCATTGGCCTATGATGTAGTTGAAATAGAAAGCAAGGCAAGTTGGATATGTTTTCTAGAACTCTTAATTGCAGACTTGGGGATCCAAAATGGTTTGGCATGGGTGTTTATAAGTGATAAACAGAAGGGGCTAATTCCTGCTATGCAAACAGTTTTACCAAATATTGAACACAGAATGTGCGTGAGACATTTGTATAACAACTTCAGAGGCCAGCACACAGGACTTGCTCTAAAACATTTGCTATGGGCTGCTGCAAGGGCAACCACATTGCCTTGGTGGGAAGCAGAGATGGATAATCTGAAAAGGGAAGATGCAGATGCTTGGGGGTGGCTAATTGAGAGGCCTGCAAAAAATTGGTCAAGATCTCATTTTGCAACACACTATAAGTGTGATTTGTTGTTAAATAACCTATGTGAAAGCTTCAATGCAGCCATTATTGATGCAAGGGATAAGCCAATTGAGAGAATAAGAATGTATATTATGATTAGGATGGCTAATAGAAGGGCTTCTTGTCAACATTGGAGGTATACTGTTGGTCCTAGAATCTTCAACATAATAGAGAAAAATAAGTTAGTATCAAGTCAATGCATACCGAGGTTGGCTGGGGAGAAGAAATATCAAGTAAGTCAGCTGTATGGGGGAGAATTTGCTGTCGATCTAAGAGCAAAGACTTGCTCTTGTAGAAGATGGGACTTATGTGGGATTCCTTGCCCACATGCAATTTCTGCTATTTTCCATAGAAATGAAAACATAGAGGATTATGTGGATAAATTGT